TCACATTATCACACGCTCTGTTTATTAAACCTGCTGATTTCCCCAGTATTATTGTCGTGGGGGGGGGGGTTAGCATTCTTTTCCCTTACCTCCCAAAGGAAAGGGGAAGTGGGGGCGCAGGTATAGCAGGTACCACGTGCCCCCCTCCCCAATCCAAAGAGTGAGGTCAGCATTTATAAATCTGTAAAAACCAATTCAGGTCCTGTTCACCAAAATGATATGGTTCCATCTTAGGTCTCCCGTAACCACAACAGACACCAGTCCGCCATCTTTGCTTGACTTGCTTGTGTGTGTTTGAAGAAAATTTGCTGGGCTCCTGAAAAAGGCAAAGGACCCCCCCCCAAAAAAAAAAAAATTAAAAAACAGAAAAAGAACGAGTACGTCCTGAATTTAACGGTAACGGGACAGCTGTGGCGTATGACAGGTTGGGAGGAGTGTGGCATTGTTCTGTGGGATAGCGCCCATCAATTTTCTGTTCGCCGTTAAGCCGTTAAATGGGAGTGAAAGTGCAGCGCTAATTGCCCGGTCTGCTTGTAAACACTTTGGAAGAATCCACAAACATGCCGGGAAGGAATCCGGCCCCCAGCTGTGCTTGTGGTGGGGGTGTGGGGGGGGGGTGAGTTTGCTTTCGTGCGGATCTGGGTTGTTGGAAAGTCAGCTGGGTAGCGAAAGTTTGCATTGGCGCAGTGGCGGCTTGCCATCAATCCGTGGGGCTCTGCTCTAAACAAGGGCTCTGTCTTCCTGCTGGCTCCGCTTATCTGTGGAAAGGGACCTCGCCCCCCCACCATCACCACAGGATCTCCAGCGTTTGCGCTTTAAACAGTTTTAAAACAAGCCCCGATTTGCATTCATCACTCCTGGCGTGTCTTAAACAAAGGGCGACGCGTGCAAAGGGGACATTATTAAATCACGGGGGAGCATGTTAAGTCTGACAAGGAGGCATTACGTGAAATCTCTTTTTTTTTGAGGGGGGGGGCGGCTTATACGCATTTGCACAGTGCAGGGGCATCAAGATTGTACTGAGATATCCTTTAATGAAAACATTTACCTTGACCTGTTTAAACAGCACTGTGACAAAGCTTATAAGGAGGGCCAATGGAACGCTTAACTGGAGGTGGTGTTAGGCTACTGAAAAGCCAGTCCTGTCGGCTTAATTCACACAGCGATTCTTGTTTTTGGGACCGTCTGAAGTCGCTCGGCTCCTCTTTCAAAGAGCTTCGAGCTGTTTTTCAGGTTTAATGGATCTATATCGCACTGGTGTCGAGTGCAGGCGCTTGATGGCTCCGCTGACGTGAGCTGCCGTCTGTGACATTTCTGCTGAAGGTTTCTGGAGTCAGAAGTGTGAACGTGTACATGTGGAAGTGAGAGGCCGTCTGGGCTTCCCTGGTCTCCCCTCCCTGAGTGATACCCCCCCCACCTGCCCCCAATCCCTGGAAAAATCGCACCACGGAGCAGACGGCCACTCTCCCCTTACAAGGCTCAGATTTATGGCTTTCATATGCCTTTAAGAAAGTATATGGCCCCCAATGTGCAAGGTCACCAGAAGGGTCTTGATCAATATCTGAATGAAAAACCATTTTGGAAGTTTTTAAGGGTCTTTGGGTGTAATATCTGTGCAGTATCGATTGTCGGGGAGCAGTAGTTAGTCAAAGCCTATCTCCTTTGACTAACCCCTTAGCGAAGTGTCATCCCCCTGCGCCGTGATAGATT